AAAAAGATTAATTTATTATTAAAAAATTTAATTAATAGTATATAAATTAAAATTATCTTTTAATTCTTAAAGACCAATTAGGACTTATTAGGACTTTTACCAACCCTAGGTAGGGCACATCTTATGAGAATCCTTAATGCAATCGTAATGCACAACATGTTTGCAGGGTAAAAAAATGGTTGGTTTCATGAATTCTAAAGAGATTTCTTCAGAGCATTTCTCACATATAGGGCGTTGGATTTGCCCGCTAGAGAGTTCCTTTGAAATCGAGTCATTCAAATTTTTGGAATTGCCAGGCATAGTATTAACAACCTCAATTGGGCTGGTTGCCTGGTCAGAAGTTTCCTTTGCGATCACAGTAGTCTTAGACGAACTTTGTTCCTCTCCGCCTAATATTCCTAGTTCATTCATAAGAATCACATCAGCCTCATCCACAGGTGTTTGATCTCCTGAATCCACTTGCTTGGAGGTGATATCTGCAGTCGGGGTTGTAGTCTTGTCTTGTGATTTCTTTTCCTTAAAAGATCCGGAGAGAGAAAAGTTTTAATATCTCTATTATAATCCTTATTCAGGCATCGTGCTTCACCATTCACTAGATACTTTTCGAGACACTTCTGGTGAAAGATGTGTCCACACGAAGCTAGGGTAAATTCTTTGCATGACGGGTTCAATGCAAGAGAATAAATATCTTTTTCACATAATAAGCATGGATTCACATCCGAGATACTGATATGCGTAGCAAGGGTGCTAGTATAACGGAGGATATTTTTTGTGAGCGCTATGATGTGAGTTCTATCCATACCGTCTTCGTATATGGCTGAAGAGTCTTGAGCAAAAAAAAAATGATCATTCTGTTTTATATCACTTGCCAAATTTCGCAGAGAAAAGATTCCCTAGATTTTCACCAGCAATTACGCACTGCATTTCGTTATTCCATTAATCCCTCTACAAATCGATAAAAATGACTTCATGATTATCATAACCCCATATGCGAAATATTGATTGCTGGAAAAAAATATCCATACCCGAATATCATTTTATTAATATAATCGTGTTTTTCTCGATACTTGGCTGAAGGTGCTTACGCATGACGCATGACGCATGTAATAAGTTTTTTATTACTATGTTCTCCAACTGCTTCTCTTCCAGTTTTGCGATTCTTTCTATAAGCTCGGCATTCTTTGCATTGAGCTCAGCTTTCTCGAACTCGAACCCAGTTATCTTTGCCATAAGTCTGGCATTTTTTCTCTAAGCATCACACTTTTTATACAAACGAAAAAATAATGCAAGATACAGTATATATAGGACCAGGAAATCTCTATTGAATGTCACCGCAATACTATAATTCAAAAAGTACAAAAATGTCGCCGCCAAAATAATTAGTAAAAGTCACGTGTTGATTCGCAACACTAAGGATTTCTTTGTGAAAAGATTTTATTATAGGATTACAGATACAATAATCACAAAGTTAAAGTTACATATAAAATATACATATAATCTTTCTAACCCTAATTCCAAAACCTAATCTATATCGATACATCCGAAATTATGGCAAAAGGCGAACCCAAGGATAATGAAAAAGTGAAAAAAACCAAAAAAAAAATTTCTAGGAAGAAACTGTGTGTAGTTTAATTGCAAAAATAAAGTTACATGTGGAATACATATAGAATTTTTCTAACCAGTACGTGTAGATTTTTAGGAGGGTTAGCTATAGCTTTAGGAGGAGCTTTAGGAAGAGTTTTAGAAGGAGCTGATTTAGGAGGAGTTTGATTGTAATTATTTATTATATTTATCAGTCTATTCCCATTTTTGAATTCAGGTCCTCGGTTTTTTTTGTCTGGAGGAACGTAGTTATGGAATTCGCGTGTTTGAGGTGTTTGAGAAGGACGTTGAGTCGACATATTTTAATTTTACTTTTCAGAATACAGTTGTAAATATACTAGTTGGGACAAGATTCAAGATTTCTTGGCGCTATGACCACATCTTGATAGAAAAGAGATAATGATGGTTGGGTGCATCTTGAACCGATAATTTACCTATCTTTTCTCATCTTGTGATATTTGATTATCAAAAACTGATTTAGTAATGTAAGTCATGTGACAGATAAGTAACCAGAGATAAGAATTGTATTATCAGAAATTCAGAATATGCTCTTAATATCTTACTGAGTGGGATTCCCAGCTCTTTGATATTATCGCAAATTAATTAATACTTTTTATTTCCTTAAATCGCTGAAATTAGCCAAGAAAAATTTTTTATTAATACGGATATCCGATTTTGATGATTACGGAAACATATGGAATATGCGAAGAAAAAAAACAATAAATTAATATAGGTTTACTGATTATAGGAGATTGTATCCTTTCCGGAATAACAATTTCCGGGTTTCATACCATATCTCAATAAGGAAAATTCAATTATCTAGGCAAATGCATCTTTTTTGCCGATCATGATTAACGATGTCTTCTAGTTTTTTAATATCATTATACCAGCTAATGCTATAAAACCGATGCTAAGTCCCTTGCACCTCCAATGCAATTTGGCATTTTTGGAAAAAGGCATCAAGTTCTAATCCGTTCAAGAAAGGAGGGCGATATTTGATAATAGGTTCCTTATTAAAAATTTCCTTAGCTATCTGAATACATCTATTCTGGAATTTGCGATTTTTTTAGATTCTCTTTCTAACTGATTCTGCTCTAGTTTTAAGATTCTAGTATCAAGCTCTTTAAGCTTAGCATCATATCTGTTATTCTCTTCCATCATCTGCTTTATAGGTTCTGCATTTCTGAGCTCAAGCTTAGTAATTCGTTGCCTTAATAAATCTATTTTAGGTTACATGCCTACATAATATAATAATAATATTTATGCTAGTATTTAAAATTTTAAAATTCACTTGACATCCTGATTAATGGTCAGCAACTTTTGCTAAGAAAAATATTTTATTAATTCATGCGAAAAATAAATACAAATATTCAGAACTGTGCCTATGATACATGACGTCTAGGCTAATATATATGATTATTTTTTCGAATGATACCCCTCTATTCTAACTCTTTTTCTATCCAGCACATCTTTCACACTCCCTATCATTCAACAAACCCACGATTATACTCAGTATTTTTCTTACCCCCTTACGTAATGTTTGGTATTTATCAAAACTCTTATCCAAGACTTCTTCAGTAAATTTAATACTAAAAAATGCCTTACTTGCTTGTAAAATTTCATCTGGAAAGTAGAGAAGAAAATGCTAGTCTCTAGCCAATGTCATGATCCTATAAAATAATCCTTATTCCACTTTCATTTTTTCTTGTTCGTTTCATACGAACTCTCTAACTTTGTAATATTCTGAGCGAAATCTTTCATTAATTTTTGCTAGACCTTATCCTTTGTGACGCAAATAAGACTATCTGATTTCTTGATTGCATAATCAACCCACCTGCAACTCTCTTTCCCAATTATCTTATATTCAGGTTTCATACTGAAATTTTATTTGTGGAGTCTTCTGCAATACAGAAAGCAGTATAAAGTATAGTCAAAACATATTCATTACATATAAAATTACAAGCTCATCATCACCAAAGTTTCATAACTTTTAACTGCAACCTGATATCCACTATATACACGAAATGCTTATTATCCTCCTGGATTTCATAGGTTTGTGGGATGAAGAGGGATATAACTTCTATCCCTTCAGAGGTGAGACTATATTTCACTAACACTTCCTTTAAATTATAGTATGAGAAAAATGTGTATAATTTTTTCTTTTTACATTCCTTGGTAAAGTTCACAAGTTTTACTGCTGACTATACTTTTAGATCGCAATTTCTAAACTTTTGCTCAATCATTTTGAGAAAGGTACAGCCGTCAACCTCTTTATTTTCTAAAATTTCAAATACCTTCTCACTTAGCCTAAGACATGATTGATGTTGATCGATGAATCGATCAACTAGAATCTAATGTATATTATTATATATGCCACTTGTTCAGTTATAAAGAAATTCCTTATGAAAAATCATATAGTTTTATATATCGCACAATACCTGAACTATGACCTATTGCTGTGTAATAAAACTTTAGCTTAATAGGGCTCCTTCTTACGTAAAAAATCTATAAGCTTTATAGTATTATATTTCTTAATTTCATTCGCCAACGTGACTGAGTCATTTTCAGTGATAGTAGTAGAAGTGGTGGTAAAGGCAGAGGTATTATTTTCAAAAGACATAGTATTATTAAGAAATAGTATTATTAGGCTTAGGTGAAAAATAGTGTTATTAGACTCAGGTGAAAAAAATAGTATTACTTTCTGGAGTAAGATAAAAAATTATTTCTAAGATAGAAAAATAAGCACTAATATATGTTTTATATTGCACAGACATTGTATTATTACATGTGACCCATTTCTTATAATAATAATAATACTTTATTTATGAAATAAAAATGTTACCAGTAACCAATCTAAAATACATAAAAATTGCAATTATATTGCTATATGATAATGAAATATAGATAAAAAAGTTCTAACTAGTCACTAGGAAAGAATTCAGATATAAATACAGTTTTCATTATCAGGCGTCTCATTAAAATAGAAAAAAATCCTATCTTTTATTCACATAGGTTTCTTCTCAAGATAAATTTGATGGAAGAAATCATTACTTTTCGATTAGTCCTAACCTCTTTCTCATTTTATTTTCAAGTTCTGAAACTTTTTATCCTTAGAGATCTCGATTGCGAAAATTAAGTTCTTATTTTCTGCATTACAAAAGCAGAAGTTAAGATTAATAATATCATTATCTGCACTGGAAGACATTTTGTTTTTCTATATATAATATCTTATAGTGAAAATTTTTCATTCTCATACATAACTTCTATCATATATACACCTTATAATTTTTGTGGAAAGTTGGCTGAACTTCCACATACTCCTACATACTTTATATCTGGCTAGGAAAAGTTAAGAAAATATGAGATGTGATTAGCATTGTCATATGATGCTAAAAGCTCTATGAAAGCACATGTAAATGGAATCCTCATACTTCTTCACATGCAGATCTACTAGAAAGACATACACTAGTCGAAATTATTTCATTTGGCACTAATACTATTCAGTTAACATTCAGCCAATTCGGTCATGTAATTTTACAAAATTTGGCTTAAGTTACAAAATTTAATAGTCATTTGTTACATCACACATAATTTCAGCATTAGATCTTTCGTCAAATATTCAGCTAATTCGGTCAGATTATTCAGAAAAAATTTGACATAAGTTACAAAAATCGATAGTAATTTGTTACATTACACATAATTTAACATTATTTCGGCATTAAGACCTTTCGGTTATAATATTCAGCAAAATTTCAGTTAGACTCAAGATTTGGCAACAAATCAACTATATTTCACTGATCAAAATCTGTTAAGCCGATTTTTGCAAAAATTATAAAAACATTCCAAGAGTAATTATTCCAAAGAGACAATAGAAATTGTTTCTAAAGGAACGAAATATCATTTCAAAAGAGATGATAGAAATCGCTCCTAACGGAACGAAATATTGTTCCTAAAGAGATGATAGAAATTGTCTTAAAAGAAATGAAATATTATTCCCAAAGAGACAATAGAAATCATCCCTAAAAGAACGATACATTCATTCTAAAAGAGACGATAGAAATCATTTCAAAAGAAATGTAATATTGTTTTCAAAAAGGCAATAGAAATTGTCCTTAAAGGAATGATTCAATCATTCCAAAGAGACGATAAAAATCGTTTCCAAAGAACCAATTCATCATCATTCTGAAGAATGATTTTTAACATCATTTTTAAGGAATGATATATCATCATTCTGAAAAAACGATGTTTTTTTATCATTCTTTCAGAATAATTCATCATCTTCCTTTAGAACAATGTTTTTTATCGTTCTTTCAAAATGATTCATCATCATTCCTTTAGAACAATGATTTTTTATCATTCCTTTCGAATGATTTTGTCATTGTTCATAAGGAATGATTAAACTATCATTCCAATCAGATGATGTAAAATCATCCATTTGTAGCATTTATGATAAATAATATAAATAATTCGGATTAATTGAAATTTTAGTTCAGTTTACAATATAAAACTGATTAACTTTTGGAATATTCCGAAAAAATTTATTTATTTATTTTTTTTTTTTTCAGAAATTTAACCTTTTCCTTACTTTTTTCTTATTTTTTTAGGAAATTCTTATTTTGGAATTAAGGTAAATGAATCAGAAGTGACAAGTCTTTTGAAGATGGTATTTTAGTGGGTTTCTAACTATTTTTTTTATTTTTTCTTTATTTTTTTTAGGAATACATTAAGGTAAGTAAATCGGAGGTGGTTTTAGTGAATTTTCTAACAGTTTTCTTTATTTTTTCTTTACTTTAAAAAATAAATGTATCTTTTTTGAATAAATTATAATACAATATATATTTTTTTGAGTAATTTATTATGTAATAATAAAATAAAACAAAAATTAGTTTTATTAGTTTCGATTTTTTAATTAATTTTTGCTGATTGTTGACCAATTTTTAACATAAATGCTGATTGATAGCTGATTTTCTATTTACTCAAAATGCTGATTTTTTGGTAATGATCAGTAAAATTAGACTATATTTTGGCTAACTTTCGATACTTTAAATATTACGAATTGTATTATTTTACCTAGTGATATATCAAATAACTACCAATCATTAATGTCGAATGTTTTTTTGTATAGCACCTAAATTAGGCAACATCAGTTATAACTAAAAATGCTGATTGTTTTAGCAATAATCAGCAGAAATTAGATTATATTTTGGCCAACATTCAGCACTTTAAAAAAGTGACGAAATGGATTATTTCGACTAGTGCAAATTCTAACGTAATATCTTTACTGTAAAAAAGAAGAACT